AATTGTACACCTAACTCTTAACTGTACCCCACAAAACCATAATAAAAAATATTGATTAATTAAAAAAAAATCATCATCACCTCTTAGAACACCTTTTTAGATTCTAGAACTGTCTTATTTAAGGCAACAATATTACATAACTTTATATTTCAGTGGCCTCAGCAAAATTTACACAGAAAAACTTGTTTTTTCCTATGGCTCATCCCATGTACAGAGACCTATGAGTATGTGAAAAAAGAGTGATACAGTATGATGAGAACAAATAATGTATTTCTTGGTCAAACAGTATTAATTTTGATATTTCAACTCCTAGTTGTTTTTCATTTTGGTGGAATATTATTAATCATCTTCAGGGGTCAGAGTAAGGGCTAGGTTATATTTTTCTACAAATACGTTTTCCTATTAAATTTTTAAGCGATCACATCATAAAGATTACTTAGCATTCAGATAAAAATATAGACATACACATCTTATGTATTACAACATTTCACTCCAGAAACCCACGCCAAGCCCATAACTCACCTCCACTTCTAGTTTTTCCCCATATCTCTTTTCCCAGTGGTAAATGTTCCAAAGGATCTGAATAATAATTTTTTACAGCTATCTGTATCATATATGTTGAAAATGGTTGTAAATCTTCAATAAGGACTATAGTGTCCTGAAATTCCTGTAATTAATTTTTTAAAAATCAATATCTGATTCTTACATTTTATACAAATGGGTAGAAATTATTCAAAAAAGCTAATTTATTTAAAATTCTGGATTATTAATGACTATATCATTGTCCTAACCTACATGGTCCTCAGTTGTTTAATATCTCCAATAATAAATTCCAAGTGATTGGCAGCCCTCAGTCAATTTTGTGGTATAATTCATTTTACATAAAAAACTAACTTCCTAGAAGAAAACATCATTTCATTATGATTGCATTAGAAATTCAGCAAGATGGCATTATAAAAATGTGACACATAAATAAATGCCATCAAAGATTAAATTATATTATCTCATCATTCTTAGAGATAAAGTTTAATAGAGAAAAAAGACTTTCCTTAGATCAGTGGTTCTCAGTTTTGGTGTACTTTGGAATCATCTGGGATGCTTTTAAGAAAATGCTATGCCTGGGTTCTATCCCCCAGAGATTCTGATTGGGTTATCTGGAGAGAAGCCTGGACTTAGAGTGTTTAAAATGCTTCAATGTGCCACCCAGGTTGAGAACCACTGCTTTAGACTCTCATATTACTCAATGTGAAAAACGATAAGAAAGATTAACTTTCATAATAGAAATGCCCAATGCCAGTAGCCCAACCTTGGTCAGCCAAATAATCCAACCTATTTTGAAACTACTTTTAGAAATGTGTAAAGAAAACTTAAAATAACCAAAATTATAGGAATGAACTAAGAATTACATATACTTTATGGCAAAGCATATAATGTTTAATGTTCCATAGATGATGGTCAGTTTCACCTTTTGAACTGCCTAAGTAAAGTCAAGCACAAAGCAAATTTTGCATATAGTATTTCCATCACCAAGACAGCTGAAACACTAAGGCCAGTGACAGAATGAATAGTGCCAATTCATTCACTCATTCAAGAAATATCTAGTGAATGCCTAGATGATGCCAATTACTGTGCTAGATGCTAGGGATACAATGATAACTAAAAACAGACGTGGAATCTGCATAGCAGTATATTTCACAACATATAGAAAATCGACAAAATAGAATGTATAGTTTTCATATTAGACAAATGCTATGAAGAAGAACTACATGGCAATATTATTTCCATTCAGTTCATTTCTTATTTTTAAAACTTCAGTCAGCTGGAGAGGCCACAAAAATAAGTCTATCATTCTTTTTAGGGATAATTAGATCATCAGGGAGTAGAACAAATCCAGCTCTTTCAGGACACTCAACAAATTGTTACCATAGGAGTTTATCAATGGGTCAGAGTTAATACATTTCCTTGAAGCTTAACTTACTCCCAGACAAAAAGACTCAAACATAATATGTTTTGGTGAATCAACAGCTGTAAAAAGTTGCATAATAGTGCGTTTCAGAACATATAGTAAACACTTTACCATGGCTGATAATTTCATATCAAAAAAGAACAACTTGTGGAAAACAAAGACCACTAGCTCCAATCTTACCAGCATTCTGCTGTTTTTCCTGTCATTAACTTCTGTGAAATAAACCAGGTATGTTGGAGTAGGTCTGGTGATGCCATACCACGTGAGGTTTGTCTTGGCCGGGGGTAATTTAATGGTGAGGCTAGTGTTAGTGGCGTTAAGTATGGTTGGTTCTGCAATGTCGGAAGCCAGAGACAGAAATGCTTTATCTAAAATAAGAAGAAACATAGATGAATGTATGCACATATAAGGGAGACCCAAAAAACACAGAATTAACTTTTTTCTTTTTTGAAGGGCAGACCCCTTGTAGTACAGACTTCCCTCACTAAGTATATGTTCTAGGAACCCATTGACATCAGTGTACCAGTTAGCATTGTGGTGAGAGATGACATGCAGAGGAAACATCGCAAGTTGTGGCAAGTAGGTGACTGGATCTTCCTCCATGATAATGCATCTGCCCACACCACATTGAGTGATCAGCAGTTTTTGACCAAAAAACGGCATTACGCCCATGCCCTGCCCTCCCTATTCACCTGATCTCACTTTGAACCACTTTTTTTGTTTGTTCCTCCAGATGAAAAAAGTCCACAAAGGGAAATGTTTTGCTGATGTGAAAGAGGTAAAACAAAAAATGGTAGAAGCACTATAAGACATCAAAATTGATGAGTTCAAAAACTGTTCTGAGCAGTGGAAAAAGCTTATTTTTGATAGGTGTATTGCATCAAACAGAGGGTACTTTGATGGTGACTGAGGAGTAAACATGTAAGAATAAATGCACACTTTTTTTTTTAGTTGGAGTCTTACTCTGTCGCCCAGGCTGGAGTGCAGTGGCACACTCACGGTCAACCCAGCATTGACCTGCTGAGCTCCGGCAATCCTTTCATCTCAACCTTCCAAGTAGCCAGAACTACAGGCGCGTGCACCATACCCAGATAATTTTTTATTTATTGTAGAGACGAAGTCTCGCCAAGTTGCCCAGGTTGGTCTCGAGGTTGCAAGGTTAGGCAATCTACTAGCCTTGACCTCCAAAAGTGCTAGGATTATAGGATGAGCCACCGAACACTTTTTTATAAATTAATTCTGGTTTTTTTGGATTCCCCTCTCAAATATGCATAATTAATTTAATATTAATAATAATATCAAAGGTTAGAAAGAAATATGTAGATCATATGTAACTTTTGCTTGAAAGGATAAATAAACATGAAAATACTTTTGGAATTATGTTCTCTTTGAAGAAACAAAGTGACTGCATCTTGATACCATGTGTGACAGATCCTGCTAGAGTCTACCCAACATCCTTCCTCTTTTCTTGGAGTTCGCATATGTTTGGCATTGTTAGGGGTGACAGGCGGGTATGCACTGGTGGTGCCACTGTCTCAAGGAAAACAAAGGGCCAGCTCGCTGACACAGCTTCTGCCCTTCACTTCTGCCCTGCCAAATGGCAGCCTGATGCTCAGAAGGGCTGCAGCCATCTTGTGAGAACTGAATAAAAGAGCGAAAGAAGTTTGAGGAAGGACAGAAGTCCAAGTTCTTGATGTGTTGTGGACTTGCACACCTCCAGGGAGCACACACTCACATGCACTTGCACACCTCCAGGGAGCACCATTACAAAGACCACAGTGGAGATGGTCTCTGTAATGGTGCTCCCTGGAAGTGTGGTCCAGGTCAGGGCAGTGGCCCAGCCACACTGTAGGCTCACTGGAAACTTCCAAAATCATGTTTTTGTGACTGCCCACTGAATACAACTCCTGATGTATTCACTCTGATTAAGTCTTATGTAAAACGTCACCTAAAAATACAGCACTATCACATGACGTGCAAATAACTCTAAATATGATTTTAGTATGAAACCTAACCCACTTCCACCAGTTAACCCACACTTCAACTCACAGTACACAGCACTGCATAATCTGGCTCCTGTCTGCTGCTCTATCCCATCTCTGACTTTGCAAAGACAACTCTAACCACATTGCACAGCCTTCAAACTGTGCAGGACTTCCATCCCTCCGGCCCTTCTCGCAACAGTCTCCTCAAGTTGGAATGACCTCTCCTCCCACACACCCCTGCTTAGGGCTCACTTCACACGCATCATCTTCCTGGGAAGCCCTGCCTGTGTCCGCAGTTCAGGTGAAGAGAATCTCCTCTGACCTCACCACACACCACACATTCCTCCACCTGAGTACCAGCCACATTTGATTTTGGTTTCGGTTTTTCTTTTTTTGGTTTATCTACCGCTAGAAAGCAAGCTTCTCAGACTGAAACTATGCTTGATTTATCTTTGTTCCCCCAGAGCCCTAGAAGGGTGAGTGACATGTATTAGGTGTTTAATGAATGTTGTAGATCTTTATTAATTCGTGTTACAAAAATATAAAATACATCCATTGCAGTCAACATCGAAGAAAATCAAGGAGAAAATATCTAGTGCGAAATAACTTGATCAAGCCAGGCACTTCACTTACTTTTTGACCTTGGGAAGCCTACTTCAGCTCTTCTGTAAACAATTACCCATTTCATAGACATGTATATACTACTCTATCCCTAGTACATGATAAGCATTTTAAATAAACATTGTCTGTTATTATTGTCACTAATGAAACTACTGGAAAAATAGGCAAAATAATACTGGTCTGATATGGGGATTCCAGATATGAATTTTAAAGTGCAGAAAAGGATGCTTACAAATAGAACCACATTACAAATTTCCAGTAACAGGGAATACCCAAAGAGATTGTAACCCTAAATTTGAGGACACTTGGAATGTATGGGGGTTTGGAGATGGAAGACTTCCCTAAAGTTATAAAATGGGCCATTTTCCAGTTCAACCAATATTTATCCAATGGTATTAAGTTTGTGTTGATTTCTAGTCTAAAAGGGAATGGGACACTCATGTTAGCAACCAGAGCAATCAACTGATTCAAAAGTCATTGTTACATTTGTCATTCTTTTATTTTATTCAGCTGATACAATTTGACATATTAAAGAGTTGTAAATATTATACAGGACAGGAAGACAAGTTTTGACTTTATGCTTCTTCTTTTTCTTTTTAATTTTATGCATTTTGAAGGTGTTAAATGCTCCAGAATACAAAGGAGCAAGGTAACTGGTAATTGCTTAAAATTTCCAGCAGATGGAGGTAAAGTACCCTTAATTATCTAGAAATTAGCAAAATACTCTTTTCAGAGAAAATGACTTTATACTAATCATATTTTTAATGAGTTCCAATCATAAAAATTTACGCAAATCTTAGAACTTTCATTTTTTTAAAATGTGCACCTTTATATGTATGTTGGTGTTCAACTTCAACACTGAGTGGACTTTTTAAAAAAGACTATTTTTTAGTGCAGTTTTAGAGTTCACAGCAAAATTGAAAGGGAGGTACTGAGATTTTCCATATGGCCCCTGCTACTCCACACATAGCCATCCTCCATTAGAATATCCCCACCAGAGTGGCACATCTGTTAAAAATAAGTGAAACTGCTTTGACACATCTTCACCCAAAGGCCGATTTCGTGGAAGACAACTTTTCCACGGAAAGGGTTCAGGATGAGGGGGCGTGAGGGTGGATCGTCAGACAACAAATGCTCATAAGGCGAATGCGACCTAGATCTCTCGCAGGCGCAGGCGCAGTTCACTGCAGGGTTCGTGCTTCTATGAGAATCTAATGCCTCTGCAGATCTGACAGTAAGCGGAGCTCCGCTCTCAAGCCTCTCGCCTCAGGCGGTGCCACCAACCAGGCCAGGGGTTGGGAATCTTTGATGTAGAGAATTTGTATATCTTGACATGCATGCTGTAGATTGCCATTTGTGTGTCTTTTGGTGAGATGTCCCTTAAGATCTTTGGCCTATTTTTAAAAATCAAAATGTTTATTTTCTTATTGTTGAGTCTTAAGAGTTCTTTGTATAGTTTGGATAATAGTCCTTTTTCAGATGTGTCTTTTGCAAATATTTTCTCCCAGTCCGTGGTTTACCTTTTCATTCTCTTGACAGTGACTGTCACTGAGCAGAATTTTTCAATTTTAATGAAATTCAGCTTATCAATTCCTTCTTTCATAGGTTGTGGCTTTGGTGTCATATTTTAAAAATAACTGCCAAACCCAAGGTCATCTAGATTTTATCCCATATTATTTTCTAGGAATTTTATAGCTTTGCATTTTACCTTTGGGTCTGAGACCTATTTTTGAATGTGTGTGTGTGTGTGTGTGTGTGTGTGTGTGTGTGTGTGTGTTTGTGTAGTGTAGTGTAAGATTTGTGTCCACATTACATTTTTTCATGTGGGTATCTGGTTATTCTAGCACAATTTGTTGAAAAAAATCCCCTATTCTCCATAGTCTTGGTTTTGTTCCTTTGTCAAAGATCATTTGACTATATTTATCTGGGTTTCTCTGGGGGCTTTTTATTCTGTTCCACTGATCTTTTTGTTTATTTCTTCACCAATACCACATTGTCTGAATAACTGTAGCTTTGTAGAAAGTCTTGAAGTTAGGTAGTGTCAGTATTTCAACTTTGTTCTTCACCTTCAATATCGTGCTGGCAACTCTTGGTCTTTTGACTCTCCGCATATACTTTAGACTAGTTTGTCAATATCCATAAAATAATTTGCTGAGATTTTGATTGGGATTACATTGAGTCCATAGATCAAGTTGTGAAGAAGTGACATCTTAACAATATGGAGTCTTCCTATCTATCACCACAGAATGTGTTTATATTTATTTAGTTCTCCTTTGATTTCTTTTAGCAGAGTTTTGTAGTTTTCCTCATACAGATGTATATTTTGCTAGATTTATACCTATTTCATTTTTATAGGTGCTAATATAAATAGTCTTTTGTTTTTAAGTTCAAATTTCCCTTGCTCATTTCTGGCATATAAGAAAGCTATTGACTTTTGCATATTAACCATGTGTTCTGCAAACTTGCTATAATCACTTACTAGTTTCAGAAGTTTTTTTGGTCAATTAGTTCAGATTTTCTACATGGATGATCATGTCATGTGTATTATTTCTTCCTTCTCAATCAGGATGCATTGTATTTCTTTTCTTACTGCATTAGCTAGGACTTCTAGTACAATCTTGAAAAGGAATGGAGAAGGGGACATCCTTGCCTCATTCTTGATCTTAATGGGAAAACTAGTTTTTCACCATTAGGCATAATGTTAGCTATAGATTTTTTATAGGTGTTCTTTCTCAAGTTGAGGAAGTTCCTTTCTATTCCTAGTTTACCGCAAGTTTTTAATCATGAATGGACATTGAATTCACGCTGAAAGCATTCTCTTCACCTATTAATGGGTGATCTTTCTTTTTCAGCCTATTGATGTGATAGATTACATTAATGAATTTTCAAATATTGAACCAAACTTACATAGTTGGGGTAAATCCCATTTGATTGTGGTGTATAACTATTTTTATATATTGTTCACCTTGATTTGCTAAGATTTTGTTGAGAATATTTGCCTCAGTGTTCAAGAAACAAATCAATAACAGAAAGATCATTGAAAAATCACAAAACACTTGGAGATTATACAACATACTTCTATGTTTCTGTTATTGACTTTTAGTTTAATGTCATTCTGGTTTGAGAACAGACATTTTATCATTTATATTATTTGTATTTTCTAAATTTGTTAAGGTTTGTTTTATGACCCAGAATATGGTCTATTTTGACGAATGTTCCATATGAGCTTGAGAAGAATGTATTCTGTTGTTGATGGATAAAGACGTCAATAGATATTCATTGTATCCAATTGATGGGTCGTGTTGTTGAGTTTCAGTAATCTTTAGTAATCTTTTTATCTGAGGTGTCTGTCCATTTGTGATAGATAGGTATTGTAGTCCTCAACTATAATAGTTTCTTCTTCTGTTTCTTGTAGTTCTATCCGTTTTTGCCTCGTGTATTTAGATGCTCTGTTGTTAGGCTCATACACTTTTTTTTTTTTTTTGAGTTGGAGT